AAAAGCAAAGCGTGAGCAAAATAGGGTAAGGAAACTGCTGTGGATCATAGAGTCACAGAATCAGAAGGGTTTGGGTTGGGAGAAACCTTCGAAGGTCACCTCGTCCAACCCCCCTGCCGTGGGCAGGGACACCTTCCACTAGGCCAGGGTGCTCAAAGCCCCGTCCAACCTGACCTTAAACACTTCCCCGGATGGGGCAGCCACAGCTTCTCTGGGCAACCTGTGCCAGTGCCTCACCACCCTCACCATAAAGAATTTCTTCCCTATGTCCAATCTAAACCTACCCTCTTTCAGTTTAAAACCGCTGCCCCTTGTCCTGTTGCTACAAGTCCTGTAAAAATTCTGTCCCCATCTTTCTTATAGGCCCCCTTTAAGTACTGATAGGCTGCAATAAGGTCTCTCCAGAGCCTTCCCTTCTCCAGGCTGAACAACCCCAACTCTCTCAGCCTTCCCTCATAGGAGAGGTGTTCCATCCCCCTGACCATTTTTGTGACCCTCTTCTGGACCCACTCCAACAGGTCCATGTCTTTCTTATGCTGAGGGCTCCAGAGCTGGACGCAGTACTCCAGGTGGGGTCTCCCCAGAGCAGAGTAGAGGGGCAGAATCCCCTCCCTCGACCTGCTGGCCACGCTGCTTGTGATGCAGCCCAGGATACGATTGGCCTTGTGGGCTGCAAGCGCACATTGCTGGCTCATGTCCAGCTTTTCATCCACCCATCCATCCCCAAGTCCTTCTCTGCAGGGCTGCTCTCAATCCACTCATCCCACAGTCTGTATTGATATTGAGGATTGCCCTGACTCAGGTGCACTTGGCCTTGTTGAACTTCATGAGGTTTATGAACTTCATGAGGATCCTCACTGCTGTTATTCCCTGGGGGTGTGTCGGTACATGGAGACAGCACTGTGCCTGTGCTGTGAAGGAGGCCAGCTGCACTTAGTGTATGAGCAAGCAGGTAGCCAGCAGTTTGAGGGAGACAGTTATTCCCCTCTGGTCAGCACTTGTAAGACTTTGGAGCACTGAGTCCAGTCCTGGGTTATGAACTTCATGAGGATCCTCACTGCTGTTATTCCCTGGGGGTGTGTCGGTACATGGAGACAGCACTGTGCCTGTGCTGTGAAGGAGGCCAGCTGCACTTAGTGTATGAGCAAGCAGGTAGCCAGCAGTTTGAGGGAGACAGTTATTCCCCTCTGGTCAGCACTTGTAAAACTTTGGAGCACTGAGTCCCGTCCTGGGCTCCCCTGGACAAAAAAACCAGCATCGGTGTTTTGGAGCAGGACCGCCAAGCTGGTCTGGGGCTGGAGCATGTGATGTGTGAGGAGAGGCTGAGAGCTGGATGTCTTCAGCCTTAAGAGTAGGAGACAACTATGTATTACTGTTTGCAGGTAGGGGTAGAGAAGATGGAGCCAGACTCTTCTTGGAGGTGCATAACGAAAGGGCAAGGGACACCTTTTCTTTTTCACCGTGAGAATGGTCAAACATGGGAATGGGCCCAGAGAGGTTGCGGGCCAGTTCCTAGGCACTGTTTATTAGAGTAGATGTTGCATCTCCTCAAATGTGAGCAGAGAATCCCTCTTTGCTCGTCAGGTCTCTCTGTGCACTGTGCAAAAGCTAGAGCTTTATAGGAAGTATTCTGTGTTCTGCTGAATGCTAACTGTCCAAATGCCTGTTCCAGAGAAAGCATGCATGTCTGAAACAGACCTTGGTGGGTATAGAAACAAACAAAGATACATATGACTATGTACCACACACTTTATTTATGTCTGTGCAGAAACACACAGGCATGGGCACACGTAGGTAAGTCTTTGGGGCTGCTGGGTTGAAGAAAAGCCTACTCAACAAGGTGGAGTAGTTACACCTTGATCCCGCTTCATATTGGGGCAAAAGCGCTCCTGCAGGCTTGCTGTTCTGCAGGTCTCTTCAGATGAGAGGCGTCTGAGCGCATGGTTTGATGTACTAGGTGCCAGGTGCTGATGCGTCGTTAGATTGTTCCCTGCCTTTACTTTAAAAAACACTCATCTGTGTTTTTTGTCTCCTCACAGCTTGAAAGTTAGATTATACTGCTCACCGGTAACTAAGGAATTGCTGTTGACTAGCTGGAAATACAAGTTTTGGGAGAATCACATTGTGAGTTTTCATTTATTTTTAAATTAACACTTTCCAAGCAGTGATCCTAGGGAAGAGGCGGCTTTCCCTCCTCAGAAATGTCTACATGTTGGTGTTGATACAGTGTTTCAGGGCTTAAGTACCTACATCAGTATGCCTTTCCTCGCTGCTTGCTGTGGGATTGTTTTATTGTTCCTTACTGGTTAATCTTATTTCCCTGCACAAAATTTATCCTTTTCTCTCAACTTCAGCTTTAAACGTCCTCCATCTGTGCAACTCTGTCTTGATTATTTGTATCGCTCCTTCATTTCCTTAACTTGCTCATGTCTCTCTGCTCCTGTCCTTATTTCATTTCCCTTTTGCTTCATTTAAAGTCTTGTATTGCTTGGAGTACGTATAATCTTTTAGTTATATTATTTTCCTTTTGCTTTTTGGAAAATGGACTCTCTCTAACATGAAAATGTTTTAGTGATGTAAAATCGCCGAAGAACTTAATTAGTTTACTTGATTTCCACTATTTGGAGCCAAAATTCAAGTGATCAGTGGACATGTATGGGTATGACTTGTAGTTGTTTATTTCCTTCCCTTTGCAGATGCAGGCTTTGAAATTGAACGTGTTTCTTTTCACATCTTACTGTGTGTACATACATCATCACATAGTGTAAGGATTTTGCTGTATCCCCCAAGCAAGGACAGGAGAGTTTTCTAGTCAAGTGGAAGGTCAAGGAGGACTTCAGGCAAGCTGAAATTTGTTTCCTTGGGGGAGTTACGCTCAGAGTTTCCTTAAACAGGTTGTAAGAGTGGGTCTTAAGTTCCTTATCCAAAGAAATTCATATGACTGGGACCTAGGAGGTGAGTCTGGGTAAGAGAAAAAAGAGAAGTAGGGAACTTTTCTGTTCAAGGTCCTAGTTTAATTGTGAAGCTGAGGGAGAAGATAACTAGCTTTATATCAAGCCTCGAGAAATGGAAAGATTTAATGATTTGGAGCATGAACATGATTCAGGGCTCTGTAAAAAGGGCTCTGTAAAAAAGACTCTGAACATCCCTTAGGCATGTTTGATGTGTGAAGGAGCACAGTGTGCATAGGTGACTATTTTTCTAAGCCTGTAATCTTCTTGGACTAGCAAAAATAAAATGGGGTGGGTTTGTGGTGGCTCTTTTGTTGGTGTTGGTTGGGGTTTTTTATTTTTGTTTTCAAGCTTGTGTCTGTTTGCTTCCAGTATCCCTTGAGTTTAACCTAGAAGAAGAGGTCTCTTGCAGGGAGATATCTGTAAGCTATTAAGAGTTTGTATGAGCAGTAAAAGGAAAGCAGGCAGTGCTGGTCCTGACATTCCTGTTTGAGAAGATCTTAATCGGGGAAGAAATGCCAGAGGTACCCGTGGTACAGTCTGAGATGAAGCGCAATTAACACAAATCAACACAATTTAAAAAATACATAGATGTTTGCAGCTGCTGCTCCCAGGAGTGACTGCTGGTAATGGCATGAGCTGCACAGGCCCTAAATCAGATAGTAGCTGTTGGATGTCTTGTTCACAAGCTTTGTCTTACAATAAATAAGCTTTCTACTTGTAGCGTGACTGGGAAATGAATTAACAGCTGATTTGATATTCACCAGACTGAAAGAAGCAATCACAATGTCAGCTTCCAGACAAATGTTTTTATGATTTCCAGTCTGACCTTTATTTGTACGTACGGCACGAGAGGCTCTTTGAATCTGCTGCTGGCTTTAACATTTGAACTATCAAAGATGAGGGGAGAACTCTGCTGGAGATATTATCATTTATGCTTATGAAGCTAAACGGTGGTTGTCAGTGAAGAATTCTTCAGGCAGTTTAGATCTAAAACTTGACAATTGTTTCACTGCAGTAGGAAATTTGAGAATTACTGAGAAATATTGAGCATGCAGAATTTAGATCAGGCTCCTGAGTTTATTCAGCTTCAGAAATTGTAGATGAAAAAACTAGTATTGACGTTTAAAAAATCAACTCCTGCTAGTGGCTTGAATTCTTAGGATAAAATGCTTTTTGACACACGTATCTGTGTTTTCGAGCAAGCTCCGAGTTTGATTGGTGTTGTGGTTTCTGCTGGAGAAGCCAAATGTTACGATCTTTGTGCAAGCACCAGGTGAATGGATCTCATGGAGCTGCCCAGAAATTTGCGATGCAGTGTCTTGTGAATCCATAGTGAAAACCCAATGTGCTGAGGATACAGCTCAGCTGAGAAGCTGGAGGTTATACCTAAGGAGGGTAATGACAGGAGACTTTCCTTTCATTTTGGTTTTTTTGGACAGGAGAATTATATACAAATATTGTCTGCTGGCGACAGATGGAGTGCAGCTGTCTCACTGAAAGGGGGAAAAGGATCATCGCTCATGAATTGGGGCTCATTGAGAGGGCTTTAAACTAGGTTCGAAGGGAGAAGGGGATAAAACCAGGCTCACTAGAAATGAGCCTAGGGGTGGCATGCCAATGCTGGGGGCAAAATTGATAGCCCAGCTCAAGTGCATCTACACCAATGCACGCAGCATGGGCGGCAAACAGGAGGAGCTGGAAGCCATTGTGCAGCGGGAGAGATATGACTTAGTCGCCATCACAGAAACATGGTGGGGTGACTCTCATGACTGGAGTGCTGCAATGGATGGCTATAGACTCTTCAGAAGGGACAGGCGAGGAAGGAGAGGCAGTGGGGTGGCCCTGTATGT